GGCGGAGGCCCCTTCCATGCTGAATAGGACTGTTGGAATACCACTGAGGAGAACCATCGATGTAGATGTCCGAAATAGAGTCGTGATGCACTCACGAAACTTCGAAGTAAAACCTCTTCCCTATAATACGTCAAGCAGATATACCCATCTAACTGAATCAAATGCCTTCCTGATGTCCAACTTGAGCAGAAGCGATGGTGTGTTTGTTTGTTGTAGTCGACGAGCATAGTTGCATACATACATTAAGTTGTCGTGGATACACCAAGATTTGATGAAAGCACTCTGAGCACGGGATATGAGGATGTTCATAAATGGGGTGAGCCTCATTGCCATCACCTTGGCCACAATCTTGGCGATGGCATGGATCAAACTGATAGGCCTAAAGTTCATGATCACCTCAGCCCCCTCCTTTGGCAACAGAACCACATTTGCGGAGTTGAGCCACTGGAAGTTCACAACATGCAAACTTGAGAAGATGGAGATGACCTTCATAAGATCATCCTTTATGATTGGCCAACAGCTCTTGAAGAACACACCGGTAAAGCTGTCGGACCTCGGAGCCTTATCACTAGGCATTGCCTTTATGGCCCCCTGAGTGCTTATATCATGTCAAGTATATCATATAAGTCAAGAGCATTTTCTATAGTCACTCGGCTTACAACTATGTAAGCCAAGTACTTTTTGTTTGCCGTGCGTCCTTCATTTGATACTCGGCTTATGTTGATGTAAGCCGAGTACTCATATTTTTACACTTGGCTTACAGCTAGCCAAATGGCGACATGTGATTTTTCTGTAGTATGACCTCTAATGCATATGAATTATTCTACTTATATTCAACAATTGAATAGAAATCATTTTCCCCATTCATGGTTGTATGTTATGGTGGATCTTTTTTCATGCATGATTGCATCTTGAGGTGGGCTTTATCCCATTCATAATTGTATAGTGATTTGGCATGCTTGCATGTTAAGATAAATAAATTAGTGAGAATGACTCTCTTAGGTATATAGGTATATAGGTATATAGGATTAACGTACTCGCTCTCCGTTTCACTTTCTATTAGTTTCTACAAATTATTCAGTTGTGCTGAAGAGACAACTAACTAATAATTTCTTGATTATATGAGTACTCCTACTAACTAATTTCTTTCTATAAGTAGATCGAGCCTAATTAACTTCAGCTTGGTCCGCCCCAAAATTTCTTAGGTACGACCCTGCAGCAATGGAGGGGTCTTCTTCTGCTCACAGTCGTCAACAAAAATCCCCTCCATTGTCAGCAAGAGGTACAGGACTGCCTACCACTTCCAGCCTCCCAAGAACTGGATGAATGGTATGTATATATGTTTACCTCTCTGGTTTTTCTTTTCTTTTCTTTTTAAGCTCCCTCTATGCTTTCTGTCGACTTCTATTCGTGACCAATCAGATATAGTCTCTGATTTGGTGTGCTTTTTCTGTTCTCTTGGTAAAAGAAAACTTGGTTAACTCGCACAGAAAAATAAAATTGGTTAGGGTTTCGCCTAACTGGGGAGGCTAAGTTAAAACCTATTAGCCAATCTAAATTTGGTATGCCAATATACTTGTTAAATGTAGGGAGTAATATTTTTACAGTAATACCGTTATGAACCTGTATCGTTATGAACTTTTCTTTGTGTCAAAAATAATTACAGGCCAGGGAAAGCTTCGTAGGCACCTGATTACTTATGCAAATCTGTTGCTGAATGTTGCCCAAAGTAGGCACACACTGTAATGCGATGCAGTTAGATTTCAAGTAATACTACCATAATATGATGATAACCCTGTTCTTTAGATGCTTCCGCAAAACCCAAATCGTAAAAGTTGGCTAAGTTGGCAAAATTTTTAATTGGAGCTTATGCAAAACATTTGAACTACGTACCGAGATATTTATGTAGATTTTGTTTTTATAGAACCGGGAGGCTTCAAGACTTTTTGTATTTTCCATCTTATTTGGATAGAGTTTGCTTTGTAACTGGAGGTACAGAGGCAATATAAATCATTTAAGTGTGGCGGAAATGAGGGAGAAATATTGTGACATGGTATCTAGGGAATGGGTGTATGTCAATTGGGGAAAATAAGGTGGAGTTGATCCAAGCATAGGCACTAAAAGCAAAGATAAACGAGAGAAAACAAGGCGACAAAGAAAAACAAGATAAAATCATAAAGCCGAAACAAGGGTGTTACGGTTTGAATCCATTTAAAAAAACATGTTTTGCAATCTAGAATATCTTTGGTCCTGTTTTACCAATAGTAATATCCTTTTTTTTTGGAGTAATCATATCCTATTAATTGTACATCTGTTGCAAGTCATCGACATTCCCTCACTTTTTCATATATTTGATGGATTGGCGTTCCTTGGAAATCTGCGACAACAATAAAGATCCAAGTGGTATGAATATCTCCGGCACAACCACTTTTAAATAAAAAGGAGAAAAAATTGCAGCATTCTACATCTTATACTACCTTTATAAAAAAAAATTCAGGACCAATGTACTACAATGACATCTATCATGAGTTCTACCAGTATAACCCCGATGGCTCCAACAGTCCCAGTCTCTCCTATAACATAGTTTGGGGCCATTCAGTTTCAACAGACCTCGTCAACTGGATCGGTCTTGAACCCGTACTAGTACCGGATACCCCAAGTGACATATGCGGTTGCTGGACCGGCTCAGCCACAATTCTACCTGGTAATCAACCAGCGATCACATACACTGGTCTCATCAACATGGAGAAGCATCAGGTCCAAAACATTGCGCTTCCCAAAAACCGGTCTGATCCGTACCTCAGGGAATGGACCAAAGCAGGCAATAACCCAGTGATCCAACCGGTCATACCAGGCTTGAACTCGAGCCAGTTCAGGGATCCGACAACTGGTTGGATCGGACCAGATGAACTATGGAGAATAGCAGTTGGTGCTGATCTGAACGGCTCCATTACTGCACTTTTGTACAAGAGTGAAGACTTCTTGAATTGGACTAGTGTTGAACACCCGCTGTATTCATCCAATTCCTTCGACATGTGGGAGTGCCTGGATTTCTTCGCGGTATTGTCGGGAAGTAACGGTGGACTGGACATGTCTTCAGCAATCCCTAATGGCGCCAAGCATGTCCTCAAAATGGGCATGGATTACAGCGACAAGTACATGATTGGGGTTTATGATCTCAAACGTGATGTCTTTGTGCCAGATACTGTCATAGACGACTATCGGCTGTGGCTGAGGATCGATTATGGAAATTTCTATGCTTCAAAATCGTTCTTTGACTCAAAACAGGGTAGGAGGATCATATGGGCTTGGAGCAACGAGACAGATGCTTCTTCAGATGATGTTGCAAAAGGCTGGGCAGGAATCCATGTAAGAAAATCTGCCCTTAATTGGTTGTAATTGCGTCATATTGACATAATGATTTAACAAATCGGTGTAACATCTTTAACCTCACTTTTATTATATTTAGTCAATCCCTAGGACAATTTGGTTAGACAGCGATGGCAAGCGGTTGTTGCAATGGCCAGTTGAAGAGATTGAGTCCCTTCGAAGAAATGAAATCAACCATCAGGGACTAGAGCTCAAGAAGGGAGATCTATTTGAGATTAAGGGGATTGACACTTTGCAGGTAGTTTCATGTTCACAAACGTGTTTACTTAGTCTTCCAAAGATATTTTTTTAACTTCAAAAAGGGTCATGCCAGTAAAAGCTATATATTTAAGGGATATTACATTTACTGGCATGACCCTTTTTGAAGTAAAAAAATATCTTTATGTTTGACATGACCCTTTTTACTGGCATGATACATTTCTGTCAACAGAAAGATAGGCATATATACACACACACATATATTCTTAGGTTTATGTGTTTTGTGTATTTTCTTAGAGCAAGTCTGGCTAACCAGGCACATAATTTTCTTGGAAAAACAGGCTGACGTCGAGATAGATTTTGAGCTGACATCCATCGATGACGCCGAACCTTTTGATCCTTCCTGGCTTTTAGACGCTCCGAAGCAGTGCCGGGAAGCTGATGCATCGGTTCATGGTGGCATAGGGCCATTTGGACTTGTTATCCTGGCCTCCGACAACATGGAGGAGCAGACTGTTGTGCATTTCAGAGTTTACAAATCACAGGAAAAGTACATGATCCTCATGTGCACTGACCTAAGAAGGTTAGTGCTTATGCTTTTTTGCATTCATTTTGGTTAGCCTTGGTTTCCATAAATGCCTATCTATTAATGTCTGGAAGGAAACTAAAAAGAAATTTCTCTCATTTTCTTTGCATAGGTCTTCCCTGAGACCAGGACTGTACACACCAGCCTATGGAGGCTTCTTTGAATTTGACCTTGAAAAAGAAAGGAAGATCTCTCTCAGAACTCTGGTGAGTTGGGAGGATTTGCTTCATTAATTTCTCCAGTTATTTACTTCATGACAGAACTAAAAAAATGGACGCCTCTGTGCAGATTGATCGGTCGGTGTTGTGAGGAGTTAGTTGCAAATAGGAAAGTGAGAAGGGTTAAAATGTAAATGTAGTTTGTATATACTGAGACAAGGAGGAATGAATCGGGAGATAAGGTTCTTCCAGAAATCCCTAGCTTCCCCCCTTAGCTTCCTGACTAGAGAAGAGAAATCCACAAAATCCAACAACATGGTATCAAAGCAGGTGCTGTAGCCGCCGCCGGCGACCAAGGGAATGGTGGCGCTCCTTGCTGTGGTCGAGGAGAGAAGAGGAGTGCTTCTGGTGGTGGACTGGAGCGAATAGAAGGAGCTGCGGCCAGGGTGTGAGGCGGTGCAGCGGGTTGGAGTTGAAGCTGGTGGCTGTGCGACCTGGGAGTGGTGCTCCTGCTTGTAGCCTTGTGCAGGCTGCTCGAAATCGGAAGCCTCGGCAAGGGTGTCGCCGGCAGAGAGAGCCAGCGCACGGATTGTGTTCGGTTGGGGCAGCAGTTGGTGGAGATCCACTGATTTGGAGGCGAGCAGAACTGTAGGTGTGGAAGCAGGCTGGAGGTGCCAAGCAGAGGTGTAGGAGAGTGTTCCCTGGAGGTGGTTGCGTGGTGTTGCTGGGAAAGATTTGTGTCCAGGAGGAGGCAGGAGCTGCTGTTGTGTTGCAACAGAGAAAGAAGCACCAAAGGTCACAAGTGTGCTTGGTCCTAAAGCAAGAGGATTTCTGGGCTGCTGAAGACCAGGTCAGAGCAGCACATCAAGGAGAGGTTTGCAACGATGGGTGACAAGGATGCTGCTCCATCGGGAGTCACGGCAGGGGAGCTTGCAGCGGTGTTGCAAGCCATGGATGATAAATATAGATTGTTGTTCGAGGCTATGAGCAAGCAAGGAGGGAGTTCAAAACCAGAAGCAGAGGTCAAGGAGGAGGTTCATCCATTGCAAATGCCCCTGGTGAAGTTAGATGGGTCTGAAACCTATGCAAGTTGGGCAGAGCACGCAGAGACAATTCTTGTCTCAAGAAGTCTAGAGGGCTATATACATGGGGCAATTGAAAAACCAGCTGACGAGAACTCCAAGGAAGGCCAGAAGTGGAAGATGACCAACGCATTGGTGAGAGCATGGCTGCTGAGTTCAGTCTCACCTCAAATTGCTAAGCAGGTGGAAAGGATTAAGGAGGCGTCAGAAATTTGGCGGCTACTGAAAGGTACATATTCTGGAGTCGGTAATGAGATGCTTGCTTGTAAAATTCAGAAGGAGCTGCAGGGGTTGAGTCAGGGTGACAAATCAGTTGTGGATTATGTGTCCGAATTGAAGAGATTGTGGAGTGAGATTGATTACTTTGATCCAATTGATATGGAGTGTGGTAAGTGTATTGAGAAATTTAACAAGTGGACGGAAAAGAGACGTGTGAGGGACTTCCTAAATGGACTTCATTCTAAGTATGAAAACAGGAGGGCTGCACTGTATGGTAGCGGAAAGCTTCCTACACTGGAGCAGGCAATATCAGCTATCATTAGTGAGGAAACCAGATTGAAATTAGAGGCAGCCGGGTCAGTGATGCAAGGTATCATGCAGCGGCGATCAGCACTCTATGCAGTAGAGGGTGGAAATTATCAAAGGTTGGGATCAAATACAACTGAGAAGAAATGCTTCGAGTGCGGTCAGCCAGGACATTTGAAGTTTTCATGCCCTGAGTTAATGGGAGGCGGCAGAGGAAGAGGGCAGGACTGGCGTGGAAGAGGCCGTGGCCATGGGCTTGAAGGACGAGGCTACCGTGGGCGAGGTACACGCCCTGCTGCTAAAGCAAACACGTCGGTGATCACTGAAAATACCACCCAAACTATGAGTGTTGAGATGACTGCTGAGGATTGGGAGAAGTGGTGCCAATTCAAGGGGCTTTCTCTAGGTGACAAGACAACTGTTGAAGCGCCTACCTCTGCTGCCTTAGCAAATTTCGGTGGTAACAACTCTCACACTGTGATAGATAAGTCCATTGATGCACCATGGTTATTAGATTCAGGTGCATCTAGACATATGGCTGGTTCCTACAGAAATTTTATTGACTATACTCCTGATTTAAATAAGAAAACCGTTAAATTAGCTGATGGCTCCTCCCAAACCATTATGGGATCAGGAACAATTATGTGTAGCACTGATATGTCTTTGTCATCTGTTTTGCATGTTCCCTCGTTCCCAATAAATCTGCTATCCATCAGTTGCATCACAAATAAACTTAATTGTGTTGCTATCTTCTTTCCATCATGGTGCTTGTTTCAGGAACTTGGGACTGGAAGAAGACTTGGGACGGGGATCATGCATGATGGACTGTATTATCTGGATAATAATATGCCACCTGTGGTTGCAGCTGTTGCGTCCCTTTCACCACTTGACGAATTCCTTCTTCACCACCGCAGGCTAGGACATATGTCTTTTGTCACCCTTGGTAGGCTTTATCCTGCTCTTTATAGTAAAGTTAACCAGGGGAGTCTAGTATGTGACGCTTGTCAATATGGTAAACAAACACGTAGCTCCTATACATCGTCTGATAATAGAAGTGACACGCCACTTCAAGTTATACATTCTGATGTGTGGGGTCCTAGTGGAGTTTCATCTTTAAATGGATATCGCTCGTTTGTTACCTTTATTGACTGTTGTACTAGAGTGACTTGGGTTTATGTGTTGAAGAACAAGAACGATGTGTTTGAATGCTTTGTTGATTTTCATAATATGATCAGAACGCAATATAATGCTTGTGTGAAAACATTTCGCACTGATAATGGCACAGAGTATGTGAACAAGGAATTTAATGAGTACTTATCCAGTTTTGGGATTATTCATCACACAACTTGTCCAGGTACTTCAGAGCAGAATGGTTTGGCGAAAGGTTATAGCCAGACATATGGAGTGGACTATGATGAAACCTTCGCCCCAGTTGCAAAGATGAACACCATCAGAGCTTTAATCTCGGTGGCAGCAAATAACAAGTGGAAGTTGTTTCAGCTAGATGTGAAGAATGCATTTCTTCATGGAGATTTGAAAGAAGAAGTTTATATGGAGATTCCACCAGGGTTCAGTGGGCCTGAGACAATGGGTAAAGTGTGTAGATTGAAGAAATCACTTTATGGACTTAAACAGTCACCAAGGGCTTGGTTTGGGAGATTTTGCAAGGAAGTCTGCACTTTGGGTTTTCGACAAAGCAATGCTGACCATACCCTTTTCTTTAAGCACCACGGAAATAAAACTGTCGTATTGGTCGTATATGTTGATGACATTGTGATCACAGGGAATGATGATGTGGAGATAAAGAACTTGAAGAAAATGTTGGCGAAATCATTTGAAGTCAAAGACCTTGGCTTCCTCCACCTCTTCCTGGGAATAGAAGTAGCTTATGGAGCTCAAGGTATCTATCTCTCTCAAAGGAAATATGTGCTTGATCTTCTCGCTGAAACTAGGATGCTTGAAAGTAAACCAGCTGCCACACCAATTGAACCAAACCTTCGTATTACAGCCAATTCAGGAGAACCTGTTGATAGGGGGAGATACCAGAGACTTGTGGGACGTTTAATTTATCTATCCCATACTAGACCAGACATTGCATATGCCGTGAGCCTGGTGAGTAGATATATGCATGATCCTCGATCAGGTCATCTAGATGCAGTAAATAGAATTCTGCGGTATCTCAAAGGTTGTCCTGGAAAAGGAATTCTCCTTTCCAACCATGGGCATCTAGAAGTTGAGGGATACACAGACGCTGATTGGGCTGGGTGCTTGGATGACAGGAGATCCACTTCAGGTTATTGCGTCTTCTTGGGAGGAAATTTAGTCAGTTGGAGGAGTAAGAAGCAAAGTGTTGTCGTCAGATCCACAGCAGAAGCAGAGCTGCGATCCATGGCTTCAGGGCTATGTGAGTTGTTATGGCTTCGATTATTATTAACTGAACTTCGGTTGTTTAAAGGAGGACCACTCAGGCTCCATTGTGATAATCAAGCCGCAATCAACATTGTCAACAATCCGGTTCAGCATGATAGAACAAAACATATCGAAATTGATAGACATTTTATTAAGGAGAAACTTGATGAGGGAGTACTTCAAGTAGGTTTTGTTAAAACTGGAGACCAACTTGCTGATGTATTAACAAAGGGCGTGAGTGTTGTATCCTTCTTTAAGTTGTGTGGCAAGATGGGGCTCTTAGACATTTTCACCCCATCTTGAGGGGGAGTGTTGTGAGGAGTTAGTTGCAAATAGGAAAGTGAGAAGGGTTAAAATGTAAATGTAGTTTGTATATACTGAGACAAGGAGGAATGAATCGGGAGATAAGGTTCTTCCAGAAATCCCTAGCTTCCCCCCTTAGCTTCCTGACTAGAGAAGAGAAATCCACAAAATCCAACAACAGTCGGCGGTGGAGAGCTTCGGAGGTGGTGGCAGGGTCTGCATAATGGCTAGAGTTTATCCGGTGGCGCTTGTCAATGATGATGGCGGCCCTCACATGTTTGCCTTTAACAATGGAAGTGCCACGGTCAGAGTGCCTCAGCTCAGGGCATGGAGCATGAGGAGAGCGCAAGTGAGCGTTTAACACGAAAGAGCAATTCTATGTGACATGTGATTGGAGTTAAATCTAGTCATTTGTTGATTTCAATATTTAGCATGGGTTTTTGAAGTAGAGGCGTGAAGTAGACGCCGGCGAGCTACGATTTAAATTTGCAGAGATTTGGAATAAATAGTGTGAGCTTGTGCATGCGAGAATTCATGACGGAAAATGCGTTTGCGCTTGCGAGATTGTGAGATATGGTGCCGCTCATTGTGTTTCCTGAATGATATGGATTAAGGACATCTCTTGCTTCAGTTCTGCACATCGAGTTGTCGTTTCTTTAATTCTTTTATGATTCTACCATCTATTTGTAAAAGGGCGTGCCCAGTGCTGAAAACTCCCACACAAGCTGGAGTAGGAAGGGAATTTCTAGACAGCCTTACCCTTGCATAATAATTCTGCAAGGAGGCTGGTTCTGAACGTAGATTAGGAAGCATGTCTATTCTCTCGCAGGCTGTGACTCTTTATGATGAAAAACATGCTTCCCTGAATATGATGAAAAAGACTCCAAATGTACGCGCACAATACGGAGGATTGGATCACATGAGTACTTTGGATAACTGATCAAGTACCTTGTGTTGTAGGCTGGCTTACTACCGGAGGATTGAAACCAGCAGCTTGTCATTAAGCCGGGCCTGCTTAACATTAACAGGCATACTCGAGTGCCTGTTTATCAGACCAAGATGCCAAGGTTTGGAAACTATCATCGCGGTTGAACAAAAAAATGAAAACACAGAACTTTCAATTGGAATCCATGCCGTCCACAAAATAGCAGCAGATACAACCATGGGTAATCAAGAGAATAGGTTCACTTACCAGAAGAAACTATGCTATTATTTGTCAACTGGGGCAGACAAATGATCTGGCCGGTTCCCTTGTAATCGGCAGGACACTGGCCAAGCTTGTGAATATACGCTAGATCACCTACAACAAGAAAATGATTTAATGGTATATCCATGTAAAGCCGGACAATAGTATAATCCACAAATAGTCAGATTATATTACAGCAGGATGAGTGCAAGCAATCAATCAATCACAAATTACAGAAAAGCCAATTATGTTGAGACTTAAGAGACATCGGACCTACTCCACAAGTACAAAACAGCAGCACATGCCACTTATTAAGACAAGCAGAAATTAAACACACTCACAGAAAGGGAAAGCAGTGAGAACGAAACTATGCACGCGGCAGTGTTGGTTACACGCCTCCAGCTTGATGCTCGCGATGCCCAGGAAGAAGAAGCTTTGGCACAAAAAACCACCAAGTATGAAGAGTATTTTGACAGTTTTGTCTTTCGACGGTTTTGTGGCAATGCTTAAACATTCAGCGGGTTTTGCTGCCCTATCTTGAGAAAATGTTAGCATCTCTCAGAGTACCATGTTGCGATGTGCCAAGTCAAAATAGTGTGAGTCTGATTTTGCTTTCTCTGGGACTAGCTTGGATGTGGGTGCATTTCCCACTGACAAGCGGCCCACAAGAGGTGTTGTGCTCCATTCTACTGTAACTGTAAAGAAGATTTCCCATTGCTTAGTGTAGCACCAGTACGTATAAGGGAGAGGATAATACTTCATCAGGCAACTCCACAGATTTCCCAGCTCCTTTGTGGGCCCTGGATGCCTAATCATTTAGGCGATGCTGGAACACCCAGTCGAAAAGATAAAAACAACTCTCCAAAGTACGAGTAGCACCGTTGTGCGTGTGTTAAGAGAGAGTTTACCTGCTCATGGACTAGGATTGCAGCTGACTGAATCAAGTAATGGGTACTGCCCAAGCTTGTGCTGCCAGTGGTCGTTGTTTGATGTATTCCCTCCGTAAACTAATATCAGAACGTTTAGATCACTGTTGTTTTACAGAGGGAGTACATGACACGCCAATATTGGCAAGAAACCCCTTTAATCCCACGATCCACGCCAATATTGGCAAGAAGACACACAGCAATCTTGACAAGAAACTCCTTCAACCCCATGACAAAAAAGTTACCCTCTGTGCACGCTTCTTTCTTTTCTTTTCTTTTCTTGAATCTTGCCTGCTCTCTGATAGACTGACAAATAAATGATACTCTGCCCCAATGTCCAGTAAAATAATAGCTGTAGGAATTCAAGTAAAGCAATGGATGCAAGTATCACCAAGGTTATAACAACATCATCTGTAACGGTGCTTGTGAGAGTGGAATTTGTCTTCCCAAAGGCCTCAGAAATCTCTTCAACGGAGGCCTGACAATAATGTATGCTGTGATAGATACTACCTTGGAGAGATAGATAGATGCCTGCTACCAAGATTGCTTCTTTTTCTTGGTGTGGTTGGATCCAAGAAACAAGAAAACTCTGGATTTTGTCTTCCCACCATGTTTCTTCCAACACAACAGGAGCTGAAGAAGCAACGGCCCCCAAGGGGGAAATCACATGAGCCGAGTCAAGCTCACCATTACTTGTATCAATTCTATGCTAGGCTCGTCAGCAAAAGAGAGAAAATCTAGAGCCAACTAAAACTCACCATTACTTCTATCAATTCTATGCTAGGTTCATCAGCTCAAAATTAAAACAACAAATCTACCAAGTATAGTACAGTACAAGCTGCAAACAGATTTGCACACAACAGCAGCGGCTACAACAGAGTGTTTCCAGTTACCGACTGACGCCAAGAGACCAACCAGATGGAACCAAACAACTTAACAGGCTGCTCACAGTCTACTCACTAGTTTTGTCTATAACCAACTGACGCATAACTTAACGGCTTTCCTTGTACTCTCTGTATCTCTCCACTAGGAGCGGCTCCACGAGCTGTTATATCGACAAACTGCTACTTCTGGAGGTGCTGCTCTCCCGTGCCGGGTGTTCTTCTTGGTAGCACTTCAGCACCTGCCATGGGTGGCACCACCTGCAACCGTCATGGACAACATGAGCAAGTGTTTAGCACAACAAAACAGGCTACACTGCATACGATGAGAAAGACTTTGAATGTATGCACACGACATGGAGGATTAGCGTTAATGGTCTCAAGTACCTTAGGTTGCAGCCTCATTACTGTAGAAACCAGCAGCTTGTCGCCGACGATCTGTCTTAGTCGTCCCACAAACTCGGGCCTGCTTATCTTTCTCCTCTGTTGGAACATCAACAGGCACATCACATTTAGCATGTTGACTGGGAACAATAACTGTAACCAAGTACAGTATCTCAGAAGGAAAACAGCATTAACAACCTTGAATTCTTCATAGTGTCCATGGATTACGTCCATGTCAGAACGGGGAACTTTTGTGGAGATGGCAGCAAAAAGCATTGGGAGGGGCATCCAGGGTGAAGTAGGAGGCCTTCGAGTTGGAGCACGCCCAAACCTGGGTGCTTGTTGTTTACCAGCTGGAGATGCCATGGTTTCGGAACTATCGTCCTGATCACAACAAACAACCAAAAAATAATATGAAGAGCTGAATGTTCCCAAGTAAAATGTCGCACCAAAATTAAGTACGTACTAACTACTGAGTCCATCCATATGGAGTGCATATAAGTACAAGTAAGCCCCGTTCCATCGCAAGCTTGGAAGCAAATTATGACAATCCTTAACAGGCACGCCAACAACTTTCAAATCTATGCTTAATCATATTTTGTAGATAAAAGAAGGCCAACGGCCATAAGATGGTAGATAATAACCTATCTGAATACACCTATCTAATACACACCAAACATGCAGCAGTCTATACGTGTGGGGTATCAACATGCTGTCCATTCAAGACACAATGTGTACCAAAGCTGAGATATGATTGTAACCAGTTAAACATAATAGGAATACCTTGATTACACTTTCTGCTGAACCAGAATTTCTTATCTCAGATACGTTGGATGCAGTATCTTCTCTAGCCATGTATTCTGCAGTAATATTAAATGAATTCTCTTGTGTAAACAACACAGAAGTAAAAATGAAAAATGGAAAGACAGATAAAATCAAGAACCATGAGAGTGGCTGTAGTACCATTGGTCATGGAAGGTGCTTTGATAACAACAGCATATTCAGCATAGATGTGTCGATGCACATTAGCATCCCATATGACATAGTGCTTTGGCTTTTGAAGATCATCCACGCCACTATCAAATCTTTCATTGGTTGGCTGGAATTGCTTTGATCCAGGAAGTACAACCTCAACATTCCCCATTATAACACGGCACAGCATCATCCTCATGATGCCATTTTCGTCAATATCTGAGTAGCTGGCACTGTGGAAAAATAATCAAGTAAGATCATAAGAAACCACTGAATATTCAAAGCAAGAACAATCCAGCAGAAAACCTAAAGATGCATATATACAAACAAATATTCTATTTGTTGCAGTGAATTTTTTTGAACAGATGGACGTATGGCCTAAAGTTTAGATTAACATGCATAGATTAATCAGAAACAGAACAAGTGTTTACCAAGTTTTGGCGCAGTTCGCTGGAGCAAGATGTGTACCAATGCCATACATTGGCCCCAGCATTGGTTTTGTAACTTCCAGAACACCACGCATCATCATCTCCTCCATAGCATCCTTGGAACAAGGTAGCCACGCATAGCGCACATTTGCATTCCCACGATGCATTTTGGTGACTTCAAGTTCCTTCTGGAAAAGATTGAAGCGAGCCCGCCCTTGCTGATCTACCAGTGGGGTTCTGTAGATCCCAACAATATTTTCTTCACTAAAAGGTTGGCCTGCCCCTTCAAGTAATAATTTGCGCACAGCTGAATCAACAGGTTGGCCAATTTTCTGCTTACAAGTAGCAGCATGTATGTTTCCACTAGCAGATTCCTTCAAACAGATTGCAGGACCAGCTTTATTTTCAACAGCAGCATAATTATGTACCTTCTTAGCATGAGGGAGTACTGCATCAACAGAATCTGAACTCGAGCTTTCAGCTCCAGCTGTTAAAATCAAAGTCCCAGCACACTCACCAGCTTCAGATTTACCACTGGGGTCACTTTTCCCATGCTGAGATGGTTTAGATGTTACCAGTCCAGC